TTACGAGATGGGTTGCAGTTGACTATGTGCTCCCAATGAATAAAATGTGATGAAGGAGAGCAGAATTATTTATGGGCACGAGCGCGGTCAGCAAAAAGTACATGCAGTTCCGATTAATGCCCGCCGTCCCAACAAAGAACAACTGAGCGGCTATCCGTCAGAGGGCAGCTAGCAAGTGGGCGGTCCAACTGAGCGGGCGTTAGAACTAGAACTTTGAGCGGCTGTAGCTCGCTCCTCGCTCACTGTGGAGTCGCGAGAGTGGGATAGTATCTAGCTTGGGGGCTGAACTACCTGCACAAGGAAGGACGACCATGTACTACTTGAGCGCGAGGGCTGTCTTTAAATGTGTGTGGAAAAAATTCAAAGAAGCAAAATTCATAACGCATTTGGAAAACCACGGCCGCGCTAAGAAGTGGGCGGGGTGTTGGGGCGGGCTTGCAGCAGTACCTAGTGTGGTCTAGTTCTCAACTGCCCATTGTAAGGGGTGTGTCCAATTCACAAAGTAAATGTATAGAAGAACATATATGTACATATATATACCAGTCGGCTCGCCGGCTAACGCCGGCGCGCCTCCTTCTGATACGGCCCGGCTGCGCCGCGCGTATTTTCTTTCACATATTTCTAGACTCAACTGATATCCGCCTTTTGTTCTGTACTCCACTTTTTTCCGGTGTCTGAAGTACTCTTGAGCTATTTTACAGATTCTTCGTCTGACTCCGCCCACCTCGGAGCAGGCCCCGCCCACAATGTTTGTGCCCCACAATCCTCACCTCTGCTGACCTTAATCCACTTTTTCCGGTCTTCGGAGTGCTCTGGAACCGTTTTACAGACCTTTTTGTCTGGCTCCGCCCACCTCGGAGCAGGCTCCGCCCACAATGTTTTTGCCCCACAATCTTCACCGACGACCCTCTGCTGAACTTAATCCACTTTTTCCGGTATCTGGAGTGTTCTGGAACCGAGCTACAAACTTTTAAAATGATTTAGGGCAAGCTCCGCCCACTGTGGGCGGGTCTCAACACACTTTGAGCGTGCCCTATATTCGCCAGATATTTACATTCTACACTGAGTTTTTTGCGACTTCCAAACACTCTCGCGAACCGGGTTACTGAATTTTGCGAGAAGCACCGCCCACCTTGAGTACGCCCCGCCCATTTAGGGTGTACCTGCCACAGTTAGTCTGGCGACTCCTTACTAACCTTAGTCCCTTTTTTCCCCATCTTTAAGCTGCTCCGGAAGCGAATTATGAACATTTTTCTGCGGAACCCCAAACTTTCGGCGAGTGCCCCGCCCACTGTGGGCGGGGCTTCCATAGGTCAAGTGTGCTTTTTATTTCTTGTCCCATGCCCTACCTATCCCCACCTTGACTGGACCTCTCCAAGTCGTTCTTCAGGTCGAACCGAATTTCCGGACAGACAAACTTACAAACTTACAAACAAACTTACAAACAAACACAGACAAAGCGAATTATATATATGGGAGGATATATATATATACATACATATATATGTATTTACAAAGTAAAATTATTTCTTCTTGGGGGCAGGCATGATTGGGATGACCCACTTTTTGGTGTATTGGCCAGTTTTCGGAGCTTCCACGGAAAGTTGTCCGTTGTTGTCGATCTGGGTGTGTACGGCATCCAGATCGCAATCTTCAGGAAGAACCCATCTGTGGACGAAGTTCTTCTTGATGTAGCCATGTTCGGTCTTCACTTCTTGGTGGCCTTCGATGGTGAGATCACGTCCTTCCAATTGCACCTTCAGCTCCTCTGGTCTAAAGTGTGACACATCCAATGCGACAGCGAATTTCTTGTCATTTTGATGAGCTCTTTGATTTGATTTCCCACATGAAGCATGGAGTGATCGGCATCTCTCCAGTATGGCATGATCTGACGGCTCATCCAATCCATATCACGCATTGGACAGAAACGATCCATACGTCCTGAACGGCTCCTTCCACCATGCGCTCGAAACGGTCCACGGGCCAGAGAGCCATGATGCTGACCACCTCGAACCTGTGTAATCAAAGTAGATTTGTTTTGAAAAGTGTCCGATTTGATTTGAAAAGTGTCCGATTTGATTTGAAAAGTGTCCGATTTGGTTTGAAAAGTGTCCGATTTAAAGTGAAAATGGTATATAATAAACAGAGTAGGGCAGATTGGTGAACATTTGCGATATGGCAAGAATCAGTTAGCTGGCTCAGAGGTGCTTGAACAACATGAGGTAGATGACTAAACAATGCAACACAAACAGGTTCGCTCGTACCTTCCCGAACCTTATGAAAACATCTGCTTGCATGGACGTAAATTACTTACAGGGAACGTCGTTCAGGATGTGGTGCGCTTATCATCAACGGTTCTTTGCATATTGTAGAGGGCTAATGCAAGGATCTGAAAAGTAAGCTTCATTTTCGCTGCGGGCAAAAAAAGGAATGGAAAGAAAACCATGGAGGCTGCTCTCTTTTGGGCGTCGTTGCACTGTAAATCACTTGCAACCTTGATCAGTTGCTGAGTGGGAGTCCCTATGAAGGGGCTATTGAAATCGAAGAGAAAAATCGTCGCAAATAAGGGTGCTACTTGTGTCACTTAAGAGTGAACAGCTCCTTCAAATGTTTCTTCAACGGTTGGAGCGGTATGCAGCAGTAACGATCGGATGGCCTAACGGATAGCGTGGAGTATTCTCAATCGGACAGCGATGGTAAAGTTGATGGTTCCTCCCTTCGGATCGGGAACTTCTGCATTTTTCATGTTACGATGTTGACTATACTCTGTGTGTGAGTATAACATGAATATTTGCAGAATCATGGGCATATTCCAAATATTGGGTTGGCCCATAAGTAATGGCGTTTTTTTCAATTGGAAATTTTGTTCGAAAAGTGAAATGTTTTGCGAGCAAGTTCGATATCATCTGATAGGAAACTTCTCGTACTATAAGAATATCAAACAGCTTTGGGTGAGGAATGATTTTTGTAAATTTTTTAGTCGTTGAAGTTGAAAGTGAAGTCGGCGAAAATTAGCACCTTCGACAACTGCCTCTATTTACGTCTATTCGAAGTGCTAAATCGCTTAAGCTGCTCCATACATTTGCAGTAGGTTAATGTTTCGCTTATGTGTTTTGTATGCTCTGATAGCAAATTTCGTGCTCTATAACACTGCAATGGAAATCTTTTTCCATAGCTGTTTACTTTCTGTTAATTTCAGGTTATTAATACGGAATGTCAGGTCGATGAGAATCAGCATTCCCGACTTCTTCTCCCTACCGCTTTCCACGGAAGCTTCAAAGCCCCTGGAGCAGCTCAATAGATTCGCCATGGTTTGAGTAAAGCATTGAGTAACAGATTAATATTAGGACGGCTCACAATTGATTTTGAGAAAAGCAAAACCGACAACGCTGACCTTGCAGACATCCGGTCGACCCATACCTCACGATTTTTTTTGTTTTCCTGAGTAAATTTCAAACACAATCTTAAAAACTATAAAAAATATAGATGTTCACAATAAACCAGTCAATAATATATTCTCCATTGTTTCTTACAACCTCCTCAGTCAGTCACCGAGGAGGCATGGCTTGGGAGTACAGTTTTCGAGTGGCTCAGAGTTTCGCCCAACAATCCATCCAAGATACCTTTAAAATACTTAATACTGATACCTATAAAATTGAACTATTCTTACCAGCAGATCTTTAACCTTCAGCGCTTTTTGGAAAGAAGAATTATTGCGCTTTGTTAAAGTGTTATTAGCTGTACCAAACTGCGTGTGAAAGAAGTTATCATCGTCCGAAGCAGGTCGCGTGTGATTCACAGTTAACCCATGTGCTTTTCCTGGAGCAATAACCATGTGATACCCATCGAGGACGTTTCCCACAAAGGAAACTGACACTGCCATTCCACACTTTACCATGCACCCCGAATATAGGCGATATAGTTGGTGAATCCTCTTACTGCAGCTGAAGCAAATTGTCAGAGCAAAACCCACGTCGGGCAGATTTTCGTCATGGTGGATTATATCACAGTGTTCCTCTTAAAATCTTCTTGTGTTGTAGACCGTATTGGTACTCGCCCTTAATATGTATAAACAAAGATGTGCCCATCAAAACCTAAAAAAATACTTGCGTTTGTCGAAACCTTTCAGCATTATTTGTAGGTGTGAGCTGCTATGCAACCGTAATGTTATTCTACTAGAAGTACTAACAAAGGGAAGATGGTAAGGTCGAAGTGGCCATTTGAATGAAATGTATACCGACTGAAAGGTCTTCGGACGGGATTACGAAACCGTCTTCCATATCTGCTGCGGACCTCCCAGAAAGAAGTTACGGAGCTTTTTCAGTGGGAGCACACTCACACAATACAAATTAGCGGCGTGGAGTTATCTCAGCGGTGGCAGCGTGGCCGACTGAGTACGTTGTATGTAGATCTCACGAACACATGGTCGAGGGTTTGAATCCTTGATGCGTAAACTCTTTTGCATTTTTTGGCTGTGGTCCCTGTGCACTTAAAAACATTTTTGCATAACAATTCTGCTTGATAATGCGTGACGTAATGTTCCTGAAGGGATGGAAACCATAGTGGACGAATCCACGGCGAACATTTTTTTGCTGTTGATTTCATCTTTTATTGTTTTGATGAGCTTATTTTTCACAATAATACTACATTGCAACGCATGAGTTTGCCATGAAAAATGGCTCGATTCTCCAAACGACTCGACTGGACCCGAAACACGAAGTTCTGCGCGACGGGAGGACGCGTAGAAGAGACTTTCCCCACGGCGTGTCTTTGACGTCGCGATCTGGCTGGAGATCATGATGTGAAAGCACTCACTTATCACTCGCATAGTGTTGCACGATGTTCTGCCCTAGTGGTGCTTTCGCACCTGCTTGGAAGTTTTCCGTTCATGTGACACATCTCGAGCACCAACGAGAAAGGAGCAGAAGGTCATCGACAGTTTCGCCTCAATTCTCCGTGAGGCAGAGTGGATTGTGAAGAGGACAATTCTGTTGAAGACGATGCAATGGATCCCCTGTGGACGTGCGACGATGACGGCGATGAATCAACTCAACCTTCCGGGAGTCAAGAATGTTTTCTCTTCGGTGATCCAGAAGTCCCATGAAAAATGTTCGCCGTGGATCCGTCCACTATGGTTTCCCTTTCTTCAGGAACATTACGTCAGGACATTATCAAGAAGAACTGTTATGCAAAAATGTTTTTAAGTGCACAGGGACCACAGCCAAAAAATGCAAAAGAGTTTACGCATCAAGGATTCAAATCCTCGACCATGTGCCCGTGAGATCTACGTACGTATCTACGTACCCAATCGGCCGCCGCCACTGTCGAGAGAACCTCACGCCGCTAATTCGTATTGAGTGTGAGTGTGCTCCCCTGAAAAAGCTCCGTAACTTTCTTCTGGGAGGTCCGCAGCAGATATGGAAGACGGTTTCGTAATCCCCGTCCGAAGACCTTTCAGTCGGTATACATTTCATTTCAAATGGCCACTTCGACCTACCATCCTTCCCTTGTAAGAGAATCAAAACATCCTTGAACCCTCATGTCTTATAAGATCTTCTTTACGCAAAGTGTTACTGAGGACTGGTTCACGCAACTTTTTTTGATCAGTCGATGTATAACACTCTAAACTTCTTCAAACCTTGAATTTTACATACGCAGTACTGCATTCTTCGCAAGATCACGTTGATCGAAAGTACTTACAAAGCTTGCTTATAAGAACTTCTTCGAGTTCTGTAACACAGTGTCGCTGAGACCTAAGAATGTCAGAAATATAGAAATACAAAATTCCTAGGAAGAGTTGCGCTGAGGTGTCACTGCGATAGGCCGGTCTGTCGTCAGGGTACAGCATGAGGGATGTGCGAAATGGCGGTGTGAGTACGACCCCCCCCCCCCTCGAAGAGGGTCCAGTTACGACCCCCCCTCTGCTCTAACTGACAACCAGATGCATGTTCACACGAAATGGCTTCCTGAAATGGAATCTGGATTTCGAAAGGCTCTAACTCTGCTCTAAAATCCAGGAAACAACAGCCCCGCCGCCTACAATTTTGTCTTAGGATTCAAAATAAAACTCGTCGCGACAACCATACAGGGGGGGGCAAAAAAAGTCACTTTTCTTCATTGACTTTCGAGGCGCTATAAGTTACACTTTATTAAATTCTGATCGGACATTTTACCACCATATTAAAGAGCATATTAAATACTATCATGATCCGCCACAGCCTTCTGGACCACCGCCATCGAGAGATTCTGCCACGCAACCATGGTTCGGTGCCTGAGTTCAGCGAGATCGTTGATTTCTCCGCCACTGTAGACCACCCTATTGAACTCCGCCCGAACCAGGTAATTGATGGGGTTTAGGTCAGGTGACCCGCTTTGATATTCCACCTTCTTCAGGAACTCAACGGTCTTCCATTCCACGCCCTTCAATTTCATGTGGTGTCACCCAATCCTGTAGCAGTACAAAGTTTCCAAGAAGGTACGGGCGACGACATGTGGGGAGGATATTCTTCACGAGTTGCTCAATGTAACCGCCAGCGCTCACCTTCAGTCCGGGGTCCACGAAGAAAATATTGGTCTTTCCATTCCAGGTACGTCCGGTCCATACCATCAACCCGGCGACTGTGGTGAAGATGATGTCCTAGACCGTGGCGACGTTGTCGGAGCTGCTCGATGTTGGAGGTCATCCAGATCGAGAGTACTGGTCTCCAGGTAGCTATCCATGGGTGACTCCATACTAGAAGTTTCGCAGCTGTTTGGAGGTGACATGAATTCCAAAGGTCTTCTCCAGTCAGGCTGCGACTGGACTTCATATTTTGGTGTACATGAAGGTGATGGGCGAGAGCCAGCTCCTGCTTATCGAGGAACATCTTGGGTATCTTCCGCCCTGGTACTCGTATCCACGTCCTCTGGGCAGCGAAAACTTTGCTGATATGTGACTCGGTCGAAGTGACTTTTTTTTGGGCCCCCCTGTATATACATGCATTTTGTAACAAGGAACACAATCGAAACAGCGACTAATGGTGATCACTGATAAGCTAAATTGGTGAAAAAATAGCCCCAAGGTCAGTGTGTCAGGCCCCAGATGTGCATTCAATGAATGGTGACGGGGAAATCATGAAAACATGCACGACACAACAAAGCGAAACATGAAAAATACAAAAAAATGCGGAGCCAAATGAAAAATGGATAACCAGGCGGCAGTATATCGTTCTATACTTGGCTATTATCGATCGCAACGTTGCGACCGCTTTCATTGGAAAAACGTCATTGGAGCGCGGTTGTTGGACCTGCCAACGTCCTGGGGTCTTTTCGGGGGTTATATCTCTTTGAGGTGCGCGGCTTTTGAGGAATGGTTAGCAGCATGCAAAGTTCCTACTGTTGCGTTTTCTACCTAGTTG